CTAATAGGTGTCAGGATACTTCCTTGAATCACTGTGCTTCTATGGCATGCTGGTTACTCCTCTGAGTCATAGAACATTTCACATAGTAATTTATTCAGAGGACCTATATTTTGTGGTATATGGCAGCTAGTAGGTGCTCAATAAATTACTAGTACATTAAATTCAGCTGTAAAAAGAGAAAAAGTGCTTTCCAGAGAACATTAGTTTCAAAGTTTTACCCAGACACTATTAATGTGACTATTACTTATTTTCTATCTTTCATTACAAAGCAACTAATCACTAGGTCTCTTCAGAGGTATGCAAACATCCTTCTAAGACCTTTGTTATTGTAGGTCCTTCAATAAGCATTTTCTCATCAAATATTTAGTATTCATATGGGAGAAAACTAGAATTTTCTGACATGCTAAAAAAAGAGTGGTTAGTTAAAATGGGTTGATTTGTGGAGGTATAGATTCCTGGGATTAATTGCATTTGGAGCATAGACATTGCTCCCTAGCCAAGGAATCCTTTCTAAATATTAGGACTGCTTAACTAAGCACAATTAGAGAAAATAGAATCATTTTTTGTCATTAATCATACATCATCCCCCACCCCTGATTGTAATGGAGAAAACAAATTAAAAATAAGAGATTCTCAATTCACATTCAATCAGTTGGAAACATCATGCCTTTCTAATTCAAAAATAAAACACTGGCCCTCCCTGGTGGTGCAATGTGTTGAAATACAGCACTATGAAGCTATCCAAAGCCACTGTAACATGAGTTCAATTCCTGGTCACGTGGCATGCCAGACCTCTCCTGACCCACCCACTGCTCCCCTCAGCAGTGTATTTCAATAGATCTGCCTGTCCTGCTCTTTACTCCGTTTCTTGTGAATCCTCTTACCACCCCACCCCCGGCACCTTTGGCCTGTAACCCAGTTCTTGTATGCAGGAATAAATAAACCTTTAAAATAAAAATAGAAAACACTAAAAAAAATATCTAAATCTACATTAACAAACAAACCATAATGCCCTTCAACACAGCATTATGTATAAGAGAAGGGAAAATGGTATTCAATCTAAGGAGAAACACTTTCTGACACTAGAAAGAAGAGCTATCCATTTCTAAGCACTAGTCTGTGCCAGGTATTTCTTCAGTCCTATAATGAATTGAGGAGTGTTGCACAAGTCACTCAACCTCTGCCTTTCATGATCTTTCTTGACCTTATGGAAAGGAAGATGCTGAGTCTGGGCTCTGGGAAGAAAAGGTATCAATTACCATTCTCTCACCTCCCTACCCATAGTGACTTGGCTTTGGCTTAAGTTGTTGGCTTGCTAGAACAACACCACCAACATATCTGACTCCCACTTGGCTTTCCAGAGGAGTGACAACCCATACTTCCACTGAGAGGAACTGGGAGAAGAGAGAAGTTTGGGAAGGATTGAGCACTGGTAAAGGAAGTTACAGAGAGTCTATTCACACTGACGACTGACTCTTTTCTAGTTTCCCTAAGCAAGCCAACACCAGGGTTTTAGTACCTGACCTAGCAGAGGCTCTGGATGGTAGCACCTATGATTATTATTGCAGTTGCACTGTAGCAGGACTGAAAAATGTTCCTGACTGTCTTGATTGAAGTGCCAGTCTTCAGTCTTTGTCTTATACCTAATCATAGAGGAAAAGCTTTTTTTTAATCACAAAGATAAATGGAACAGAACTGAGATATACAGATCGTATTGTTGTTGCTCAACTCCAACAACAAGGGAAACAAAAGTAAAAATAGACAGATGGGACAATATTAAATGAAAAGCTCCTCCACAATGAAAGGAGCCAACATCAAAGTGAAAAGACAGACTACTGAATGGGAGAAAATATTTGCACATCTACATCTGACATACCCAACACGCATAAAAACCTCATAAAACTCAGTAATAAACAAATAAAAAAAATGGTCAGAAAAATCTAAACAGAAATGTGTCACGAGTTCTACAGACTTCCACAATCACATGAAAAATGTTTGTCATCACTTATTTTTGGAGAAATGAGTCAAAATCAATTATATAATACCTCATACATGCAAGAATATGTGTGTGTGTGTGTGTGTGTGTGTATAGAGAGAGAGAGTTGTTGAGAGTGTAGAGAAAAGAAACCACCATATTTATGGAAATCTAAACTGGTGCACTGTAAACTGGTGGAAAACATTGAAGTTCTAGTGAAAATTAAAAATATTTTAATTAGAATAGCTACCATATATTCCAGCTTTGAGGAACATTAAAAACTCTAATTCAAAAAGATATATGCACCACTATGTTTATTGTAGTACTGTTTACAATAGACAAGGTCTCGAGACAGCCCAACTACTCAATGATGGTGAGAGGATGAAGATGTGGTACAGACACACAATGGAATGCTATGTTCAGCTATTTACAAATGATGAAATCTTACCATTTTCAGTGACATAGATGAAAGTGGCAGAGGTTATCTTTAGTGAAATAAGTCAGAGGGAGAAAGACTAAAATCAGGTTTCACTAGTATGAAGCATACTAAAAAAGCAAAACAAAGGAACAGATGAAACCACACCAAAACAAAATCTTGGATCCTTATTGTAGAGCTGAGGTTACCAGAGGGAGAGAGGGTGATAGAAGGAAAGGGTGGAGGGGTCCAGTGAACTGTGGTGGAGGGTAGTTGGCATTTTGGTGTTTGTCATGGTGTGAGAATCAGTACTCCTAAGATATTTTCAGTCTTGTAAACCAGTTACCTCAAATTTTAAAGCTCTTTCGTTAGAAGAACTAAAGATAACTTAGATAGAAGGCTTATACTATGAGATATAAGCTTGGGCTCTAAAGATATTTTATGTCTCCAAACACCTAGATTTATTTGTTTCTCTATTGTCTCAGAGATATAACTTTTCTTAAAACCTTTTTTTTTTTTTTAAAGATTTATTTACTTGTGCATACAGAACTGGGGTACAGGCCAGAGGCTCAGGGGCGGCGAGAGGCTTCACCAGAGACAGAGTGGGAAACAGAACAGGCAGATCGACGAAGTACACTGCTGAGGGGAGCAGCGGGCGGGTCAGGAGAGGTCTGCCACACCATGTGGTCACCTCCAGGGCAGGCGGCAATCGAACTCATGTGGAAGCGGCTTTAGATTCTCAGTGCTGTGCTTTAACCCGCTGCGCCACCAGGGAGGGCCCTTAAAACCTTTTTTATTTGCTATCTCAATGTACATCATCCTACTCAAACTATAACCAATATTTTTGCATTAAAAAATAAATATACTTCTCCCTGCAAGAAAGATTTTATGAACAAGGGTGAATATAGAGTATATTCCACTAGATTTTAATCTTATTTATTAGTTTATTTCGTAATTATGGGTATAATACATTTGGCCTTAATCCATTTAGCATCATGTTATAAACATCCCCTCTGGTTTACAAGCGTGATATGGTAGTTACTTCTGTTAACAAACTGTAAAATATTCTGGAAACGCCCTCTCTATTCAACTAGGCAAGAAAGCAAGACCATCTGTATAGACTTGCAGTTGTGGGACAGCTATGCAAAAGCACTGTCTGCAGATAAAGCCAATCTTTTCACCCCCCACAATGACCAAGGAGTCAGATAGAGAAGATTTAAATATGGGGTACCCAGAGTTTGTATCCTATAGCCCACTCTGGGACAAAAGGAGATTAAATTTTTACATTGCCTTCCGGTACATATAGATAGCATCAATTATTCATTAGATTAAGCAACATAGAACCAGAAACCCCCCTCTAAAGAATAATTGCATTTTTAATGTCAGTCGCTCACTATTCCTACCTATATAAATTAAATTCAAACTAGTGATTGTTGTAATAGTTCTCCCAGAGTGAAATCTGTCAGACCACTTCCCACTTTGATAAGCTAATAAACTATTTGTCTTACTATCAATGAAATTTTATTACAGTGTTCTTTTGGAAAGGATTTTCTATCTTTGCTTAAAATCAAATTGAGTCTCAAGAAGAATATAAGCAGCCCAAATTTACTGAAATCAATAGTTAGAAAAAAATTATTTTTTTCCTGGTTTGTTTTATCTTTGTTTTAACTAATGTTACAAAGTGATTTAAGCCTTAGGTAGGTGCATTTTCTGATATTCTCTTCTGATAACTATCTAAATTTAAATCTTTTCACTTCTTATGGTATATCAGCAATTACAGTCTACATTTTGTAACTGCAAATAAAAGATGTGCCATATGTGAAACAAATCAGTGCCTAATCAAATTATATCAAAATGTTCTTTTACCTACCTCATATCTAATACTAGTCTTAAAATTCCTGAGTTCTACTGTATGTTTATGTTACTTTGCAATGTAATTTTGCAAGGTTTACTTTATTTTTTGCCAGGATAACACTGAAAGTCAGTTGAATGCTGGTACTAGTTTATGGAATCAGTTTTTATGATTGAAAGGAAAATAATAGAGATTGTACCAATTTTCTAAGAGTCTGGGTAATGAATTCAAGAAACAAAGTAAAAAAAATGGGAATTAATATTTTATTTCCATAAGCAATTCAAATTGAGATGTCTGGCACTAAACAGCTTTCTACAGAAATGCACAAACATTGAGAACTTGGGTACATGGCTTCAAAACCATGTGAGACATAAACCCCACAATGATATTAAACTATGATCTTACCATTTAGACTGGTTGTTTGAAAAGCCAGTTGCAAAACAAATCTTTTTTTACAAAGGATTCTAACATTTTTCTTTTTAATTAAGCATGCTCTGAAGGAAATATAAATTACATCAAAATTTAAAAACCTTTACTAATCCTTCTTGATTATTCTGCAACAATTTCCCAACAATAACAAGCTTTGATGAGGAGCTAGGTTTAAAAAGAGGATTCACAGGAGAAACACTTATGTCTCCCACATGGAACCTATACTCTAGAAAATTAACTACAATACACATACATTTTAATGGTTGAGAAAGTGGGATACATAGTAAGCTCATGGATCATCACATGACACATCCACTTCTGGGGAAATGCTATCTCAAAGAAACACTTTCTTTTACTTTTCTATAGCATGACGAAGAACAGACATGGAACAGAACAGGAAGCTTTGTAGCTCCAAATATATCATAGAAGAGGATGATACGAAAACCTTCACCAAACTTGGGACCAAGACACCATTCACATTTGGATGTGCTGCAATGGAGGAAGCATCAATCATTATTTAGTAAGTTTCTCTAAAAGAAAGACATTTTGCTGATTCTGTGTAAAATCTGAGGTAGCATAAAATAAGACTTTTCTCATTATTAATCTTCCCAGCTAATGGAGTTGCTAAGACATACACAAGTGAAAAATTAAATAATGAAAAATTAAGTTGATACATTTATTTAAAATTTTTTTTAAAAACAGCAAAGTGTAAATGCATATAGTAAGGACACTTAACGATAAATCCCAAAAAGATAACAATAACTGTCCTTAAACAAGGAATTTTAAACTTCTGTATTTTCCAAATTCCTTTTATATATGGGTATATATTATCTTTATGACTCAAAGTAATTATGCTGTGTTAAAAGTAAAGGAACTATAATAGCTCAAGTGTAGGATGTTCAGAAAGCAGTTAAAAACAGACAGCAATTCATGTTACATTCACTGTGGCACATAACCAGACTATCCAGAGAAGAAACCCAAGTGTCCAGAGAACACGGAGAAGCAGTGCATTTCAGTCACTTTGTTGTCAGAGAATACAAAACAAAAATACAAAATAAAAAAAGAAATTCCATTTCAAAGTCATCAGATGACCTTAATTTAAAAGTTTGACTGTACAAAAGTTTAGTGAGGGTGAGAACCTTAGGGACTCTTAAACTTGTTTGTTTGGTTGGGTATAAATTGGTGTAATCACTCTGGAGAAGAAATTAGCAATTCTTATGTAAGTTGAATATGCACATACTCTATGACCTCCTGACACTCGTATTATTTACACAATGAGATATACTTTAAGATGCTAATTATTAACATCATGGTAATAGTGAAATACTGGAAATAACCCAAATGTCTATTAGCAAGAAAAAGGATAAATAGGTTGTTAAATATTCATTCTGCAAAAAAAAAAAAAAAAACAAAAAAAAAAGACCTAGAATTATAAGAAAAAAAAATGTTGAATTTAAAAAACAAGTTTCATATTTTAGGATATTATTTATGGAAAGTTTAAAGGACAAAAAAAATAGTATTTCATATTAGAAGTTTTCTGACACCAACCAGTTCTCAATTCTCTGCAAATGACACAACTAGGTCATTACAATTCAGTTCAGTCTGACAGTAATTACCTGGAGTTCAGTTTCAGACTCCATAGGTTTAAAGGTTCAGCCCCACATGATTGCCTTCACTTTGGATGCATTGCAAAGAGCAGGGCCTCAAGTTACCCCCACATCTGTTTGACTTGGCTACAAATTGGGACTCCTACCCAAACTTTTGATAATTTGCTAGAGCAACTCACAGAGCTCAGGAATATGCTATCCTTTCACATTGTAGTTTAAGGAGATGCAGCCAGATGGAGGTCTGAAAGGGCCCCCAGGGCAGTAGTCTGTAGAGTTGGGGGAAGCCATTCTCCAGGCATGGGATGTGTTCACCAATTTGGAAAGTCTCTGAACTCTGCTATTTAGGGATTTCTATTGAAGTTTCATTATGTAAAGATGATTGGTTAAATGATTGGTGATTGAACTCAATCTCCTGTCCCTTTCTCCTCAAAGGAGGAGGGGTGGAACTAAAAGTTTCTTAGTCTCTAGTCAAAGTACTGGCTACCAGTATACATCCTGAAGCTATCTAAGACCCCTCTACACCAACACCAACACCCACATTACCTTACTGGCATAAAACCAGGTACTTTTGAAAGCTCTTTACAAATGACAAAAGACATCCTGTCACTCTAGAAATTCCCTATGGCATTAAGAGCTCTGTGTCAAGAAGTGGAAGTAAAGATCAAATATATTTTAACTACCCAGTTTTAAGAGAGTGGCTACTTTTGGAGAAGGTTAAAAGGCAGCATCAATTGTATCTAAAGTCTGAAGCAGGAAAAGATTTGAAGCAAATATAACAAAATAAGATTTGACTAAGCTATGAGGTTTTCCAAATACTGAATTTTATTTGTCATATAGATTTCACAATGGGAAATTAGACAGTGACTGTTTTGTAAAGGAAATCTAATTATGGTACATACCATAATTTAAACAGGTTGAGCTCTATATCAAATTGAGGCATTTGAACTCAATCTTATGGAAACAGATTAGAATACAGGAATTCACACTGATATTTTTTCCAAAATCAAGTTTTCATATAACACGATAACAAACTGGGCTATATGTTCTCTTACATAGATTAATTTGTCTTCCCTTATATTTAATAGCAACTTAAATTATTCTAACTTTATAATAAGTCTCAGTATCTGGTAGGTAAGTCCTTACATTAGACTTCTTTTTTAGGTTGTCTTGGCTATTTTGAAGTCTCTGCTGCTATACACATTTAATGGTCAGTTTATTAAGTTTCTCAGAAAATAATATTGGAATTTTGATCAGAATTTTATTAGATTTACAGCTTTTTTTGGCAAGAACTGGTAATAGTTTTGGTATTGAATTTTATGCCTAAATCTGGACCTCTCTCCCACTTCATTCAACTTTTATAAACTTTTTTTAGATTTTTACTGTTTATTCTCATAAATATCTTACAGATATATTCCACTTGACATATTCTTAGGTACATCATATTTTCCTTGCTTCACAAGTATTTTTAAATTACATTTCTAATTGTTTGATGTTTGATTATAGCGACATATTTTCCATGTCATAGCCCTGACTTGCTGTTAATTCCACAGAGATCATGTTTGTTTACCTATATGCTTTCAACTTCTCTTCCCTCCATTTTTTTTTTTTTTGTTTCTTTTTTTGTTTACACCTTGACACTTCTGTCTGGAGTCATTTCTAATGCACATTCTTTTCAAGTTTCTTAACTGAAAAATTGTAAAGAATAAATTCTATTCATTTTTTCTGAACACTACTTTTCCTCCCTTATTCTTAAAAATTTTCCTGGGAAAAATAATATTTTTTTCAATTATCATTCCACTGTTGCTGGCAATAATTTATTGTGTTTTTCTAAGTCACTTTTTTCCTACGGGATGAATTTAGGTCCTTTCCCCACATTTGGTTCTTCAATTTCTTCTCAAGTTATTTTACAGAGGTAAGACCTTTCTGTGTCTGTGAATTCATGTCTGCCATTACCTCTGAGAATTTATTAGCACTATTTCATTAAACTGACTCCCAATACTCTCTCTACTCTACTTGCCATGACTCTTAAAGGTATGTTAAATGTTTTCCTTTCATATCCACCATCTCCTGACTTTCTATATTCACAATAATTTCTTCAGATCCTCTGTGTGTGTACATGTAAGTGTCTGCTTAATCCACACACCAAGTAATTTCAAATATTAGATTTTAGAATTTTATATCATTAAAATGCTTTTATATTTTCCTGGTTTATATTTGATTAAACATTTTGTTTTTATTTATTAAACATTTTGAAAATTATATTTATTTCTTTAAACACATAAAGTAAGAAATTGTAATAGCTTAGAAATTAGTATCGATTGGTTATTTTTGCTGACTTTTAATCTTCATGACTTATTTTCTAATTGCAATGTTCTGACTTATAGGAAATGTGTGTGTATCTATATATATAAACATAGGATACATATAAAAACCCCAAATATGTTCTACATATATATATATATATGTATGTGTGTATATATGTATGTATATTTGATCTTCATTCACAGTTCCTGGCTCACAACTCCTAAAAGCCTTGGCACTTCCTAAATGTTGAGAATGACTTGTTAATGTGACTTTTGAGGACACAGCTAAGGTAGAGGCTGGTTGCCAGGAGAATCAGTCATGCGATAAGGAGGTTGGAAATTCCAGTCCCACCCACTGATCTTGAAGGAGACCACAGAGATTTGAGGTTGAGTTCAACTGCCAGTGGCCAATGAGCTCATCAGCCATGCCTAAGTAACAAAACCTCCATGAAAGCCCACTAGGAGGGTCTTTGGGAGCTTTTGGGTTGGTGAATGGAGGAGCCAGAAGGAGTAATTTGAAGTGTGTTTGGTATGTAGTGTGAGGCTCATGTGTGTGAATAGTAAAACTGTCATCTGGGCCTGTACTGAAAAACCATTTAATTAAGTTAAAACCAATTGAAGTGCTTAGAAGTATATTTTGAATAAAAGGGCTCTAAAATTTTCTTACCATTTTAGTAATATTTGAATTTCCTCTGGGATCTCACCATAATATTTAAAAAGATCACTTTTTAAAAACAACAAAGCAGTAAGTTGAGTAAGTTTCTGTGGATTATTCAAAATCACATCTTTCCAAAAAATTGGATGAGTATAATTATTCTCAAATAGAATTTTTTTAAGGTTAAGCATCAGTATTCCTGGTGGAAAACTCCTCAAGTCATTCCCACTAACAGATAATTTTCTAAGTGATCTGCAAGTAAAGGAGATACAATTTAAAAGGCATTCATGCCATTTAGAATACCAAAATAAAATTTTATCAGTATTCCTGAAAATTGATATAAAATGTAATAATAAAATACAAATAAATACAACAAATATAAATATTCCTTTACAGTCAAGAGAATTAATTTGAAAAATAACTTAAACCATTATATTTTTATGCAAACATGTACATTTGTGTGAATAGTGGCATGAAAACAACTATTTTGGGTCTTTGTAACATGTCATTACTATGGAAAAAGAAATAACTTTCACAAACACAGTAACAGGAAGAAGTAATGTCATTATATAAAATATAATATAGATAAATATCACACTTTATTCAACTTCAAACAAGCCAGTGAAATTGTAACTTTCAAACTGCACTATGTGCTCTGTCATACTTTGACTTTTCATCACTGATGTCAGCTTCTAATAAGTCTTATTCCTTTTTTCAAAGAAAACCAACATAATTTGGATTTCTCATTTTGTACCACTTGTCTTAATAGTATTTAAAAAAATTTTCCTAGTCACTTGTCTTCTTTCTAATTCTTCCTGTTCATGAGGAACATATAAAATCAACTCAAATGGTGGTTCAACTTGTCAAATATGCTAGAACTGAAAAGGTTGATAGGTGAACATAGGCAATGCCATCAGGGCACTCTAAATTCTCATTTGCAGTCTACTTTCATATCTCTCATCCACACAATCCGAGTTCCTTAATTATATCTCCTTCTGCTCTGGCCAAAATATAGTCAAACTGGCATAGTCAAAATGATACCTCATTTGCAATTCTGGAAGCTAGATAAGAATGTAATGATGAAGACTATTTGTGAAAAGGGCTATAATGAAAGATTTGCCCACCCATACCAGACATCATTTACCTATTAGAATTAAAGATTAAGAGAAGGTAATTACCCACATGCTTCATCTCGGGAAAATGCATAAGAAAAATTTCCATACAGCCAGTGAATTAAGAGAGATCTTCAGGTTCAAAATGAGATGAAAGAGGAGCAGTAAGTACTGAGTCAACAGTAAGCACTGAATTTTGAAATATAGAGAGTTAAATATAAATAGAGAATAACTGAAATGCTTGTGAGGTCTCAGTGCCAAATAAATATTTCTTTTAAAAAAGAGATAATATATAAAAGATAATATAAAGGAAAATACTAAAAAAATATAAAAGATAAATGAAAATACTAAAGGGAATGTGACATTAAAGTTCAAAGCTATCTCAGGAAAACCTAAAATTAGGTAAGGAGTCAATGGACTTAGAGGGAAAGTAGAAAAATAACAATATTCCAAAGTCCTCACTGATTACTGGAAGGCAGCAGTGGGGAGACAAGGAAAACATGGTGAGGAAAGTAGATTTTATCTTGTTTTCATGACTATTGAAGACAGTGTGTTTCTATATGTGTTTTGGGAAAGGAAAAATAATTATCCATACAGCAAGACAAAGTACAGTACAGTTCCAAAATGAACAAGCAGAAAAACGAGAACAGTGTCCTAAAAATATAAATATACAAATCACCATCCCCTTCCAAAAAAAAAGAAAATAAAAAACAAAAAGAAATAGGAAAAGGAGAACATGCATATATAGTACATCCAAAGTGGAGGGCAAAAACTAAATATATTAATTATGACAGTGTTAACTGGCTGAATTGCCTATATTAAATATAAAGAGAGTCATGGAAAATTAAGTAATTGATACAAAGTAATAGAAAAGCAAATATAAAATTTAATTTTAATGAAAATTATGTTCCTAGAAAACTATATAAAATCTAGTAAAACGCTATCAAAACTAGTAATATCATTTGGCTACATGTTTGATTTTAAATTAATGTAATGAAACGCATAGCTTTTCTCTAATCTTTACTGGTGATAGTTGAAAATTAGAGAAAATATCATTTATAGTAGCAATGCAAATACAAAGTACTGAGAAAGGTTAAAAATCTTATATGAAATGAGTCATATATCCTTATGAAGAAGATAAAATAAGAATTGAACAAGTAAAAACTAGGTTCTTGATGAAAAGATTTATTATGAGAAATGTAAACTCCAAGAAATTTAATTTTGATGTAAATTCAGTGCAATTTCAATTAAAGTCCCAACTTTGTTTTGGGGTGGAATTATATTAAAATGTCCTTAAAAATCACAATCCAAAGAGGATAGTTAAAAGGCTATTATTGAAATATAATATCTCTACTGGACATTAATAGTTATTCTAAGATAGCAATCAAAATATGATACTGACATAAAAGAACAGATATGAATTTCAGAGATCTTAAAAATATTAATATGAGAAAGAGCAAAGCCTACTATTAAAATTATACTTTGTATTACTTGTATTTGTAGAGATGCATTTCCTTATGAAAATAAGTAAAACCACACAAAAGAAAACGGACAAAACAGCTTGTCATTCTATTACATGGCTATCATAGCTTCCCCTTAAATATTTATTGAAATTGTTATAGCTTTAAAATATTATGTATCAGCCATTCAAATTATATCTTTGTAAACTTTATCCATCGTAATCATCACCAAATATTCTTAAGGACATATCATTGTATACATTCTTATTACTTCTAAAATACCTGAGTTTCTGGATTTCATTTGGAATAAAACTAATACTATTGTAGGAAACATCAACTTTCTCAAGATAGGACAGGGAAAAAAACCTTAATTGGAAAAAGAAAATTGTAAATATGATTATTTATAATGGACATAATTAAAGAATTAAATACATGAGTAGATAAGATAAAATAGAAACTATTTTTCTAAGATCTTGGAATTTAGATAGACTTCTTTTTATTATAGATAGCATGATTACAATGAAATTCCTAAAAATTTTTCATGTATCAGTGAAGACTGGTTTGAAATGTTTAAAGTGGATAAAATCTCTTCTACAAAGGCCACTCAAGCAATTCCTCACATTTAGATATGCCTTTACTTGTGTATAATTAGTATATGTGCAATTTATATTGTGTGAATGACACTTTTAAGTGACTGGGCAGTTAGTTCTAAAGTGTACAAACATGCAATTTGTTAGGTTGTTTATTACCAACAATGTTAGATAAACAACTTTGTAAATGAATTTGGATTCACTTCCTTAATTACTGCGTAGATTTTCTTTTGTTTAATGATGTTGAGGTACTTAAGAGTCCCTTTTCCTTTACCCATAACCTTCATTCAGTTTTTAAAACTCAAATTGGAAGAGACCTTGTTTTGGCATTTGGTTTAAGAGTTTTATTTAAAACTTTGATTCCAAGTTAAATACTTAAGTGTCCATATGTGGGGGGAAGTGATAGTTGGTCTTATCCACAGTACCTGACTCACTGCTCAAAAAAATCCTTGGACTTTCTTGTGTTGAGAGTATTAGAAGTATCTCTTAATGGACCCTAATGGTATCAGTGGAGGTTTCTTGCTTCACTAGTGGATAAAATCTAGAGGATCAGCTAGGCTACCCCATGTAATGTAACACCCAGAGACTCCCACAGTTTGCAGTGAAATCTGAACACCCCTTGGATATCAGGGACCAGATAGGCTGTGCCACAGAGAAACATACTTCATTGAACAAGATGTGGTAGAGAGAGACTCCTAGAGGCTGTGGTCTAGTGTCGGAGTCTTCAGTGCAAACTATGTTACTACCCCTTAGTCAGCCACCAGACCAGTGGTCCTGGAAAGGAGGAATGAATGACTAGGAGGTAGGAAATTCATGTGGAAGAGCTGAGGGATTCCCGATGGAGATAGTCCACAATGAAAAGAGGACAATGAGCTGGATTATGAAGTCCCTTGCCCACCGCTTAGGACTGATACGACCTTGTGAAGTGTACCGACAGCAAATACTAGCAGCAGAGTCTAGATTTCCTACTTCAAAGTTCAGTGCTTCCTCATATCCAAGAAGATTATTAAGTGATAGGTGTAAGGTTCTTACTTGAGTCTTTTTATATTGTGTTCATTTAATTCACACTGAGATTATAAATCTCTACATATGCATTCACTAGCTGTATATTAACTGCCATGTAGGTAGCTGGTAAAATTTTTAACACAATTAAAAATCAAATCGGCTACCTAGAACAGAATAAGCAGTATTAAGTGGCTAAAAATCACTGTTTTCAAAAGAAATTAATGCATTTCTAAATAATAAACTGTATATTCTATGTTTATAATTTCGGACTATGACTCTTACCCAGGTGGAAGAGTAGTGATAAAATTAAAGGCTATGTTGAAAATTCTAAGGAACTTAAGTTGTTCAATTGCAGAAGGGATTTCTTTGATAGGATTATTTCTCAGGATAAGTACTTGTAAATTTTTAAGACAAAATACCTGAGGAACAGAAAAGAGAAATAACACAAGTAAATAATAAAAAAGTATGCAAATGCCTTTTTGTTACATTTTATAAACCCTTTAAACTAATGTGGTTAGAACTTTAATTGCCTGTATTGTTTATCTCAACAAAAGCCTTTGGTTATAACTGATCAACATTAATATGTATGATATGGTAAGATAAGCAACTACTGTATTCATACACCTTTGACTTATGAATGGAAAATCATCTATATGGGAAATTCGTCCTGTTTTGATAAAGCTCATGGTTTCAAAATAGGCAATTATGCAAACAATGAGAGAGGAAAGAGATATCTGCAGAACCAGAAAAATAAGTAATTAGCCTTAGTAATCTGTGGAGTGTCAGATATCATAGCCAGATTGTTTTACTCTGGTATCACAGTAATTTCATCTATACTGATTTTTCCTATACAGTGTAAAACAGAATATTCTATTTAAACCTGTCATCTTTGCATGACTAATATTTTTTTTCTCTTTGGTGAATCTTAATAAGGTGTATATTAGCTCTCTTGAACAAATTAAACCTTTTTATATTCATAAAGATCTAAAATTGGTAGTATAGTGCAGGGTAATTCTTTTATTAGCCCTCCAATATTGTTTTTCCTTTTCAACATGGTTTTGGCTATTTGGAATCCCTTGCATTTCCATATGAACCTTAGGACCATATGGTATGTGTGGGGCGGTGTGTGTGTGGGGGGGAGTAAGTTGTAATTTTCACAAGCATTGCTATGAATCTGTAGGTCAATTTGGGAGTGTTGTAATCTTCGCATGTTAAAACTTCAGATTCCCAAATTTAGGATTCTTGCCATCTAAGTATACCTCCTTTTTTAAACAATGTTCTACAGTTTTCAATGTAAACATTTTGCACTTTTGTTAATCTTACTCCTGAATATGTTGTTATTCCTTTTTATGGAAATGAAATCTCCCCCCTCCTCCTTCGTCTTATCATCTCCCCCTTTACTCCCCTTCTCTTCATGCCTTCTTATCCCATTCCCTTCCTTTTACTCCTCCCCTTAACTCTATTGCCCCTGTCTTCTTTTTCTCAGAGGTAGTCACAATCATTGACTACATTTTGTGTGTTTTCTTAATAAAAAAGTTTTCCCCTCCATTACCCCTTATATTCCCTTGACCCTTCTCCCTCCCCCTCCACGGTTTTATAGGTATTTTACTTGGTCAAATCATCTGTACTGTAAATGTCCAGTATTTGTCTTTGTCATTCTGACTTATGATACTGCATATATTTCCCTCAAACCACTTCTATTTTGCTTTAAATGGCAGCATTAATCTTCCCTATGGCTGAATAGTATTTCCTAGTGTGGATTGTTTTTGGTATTAGGAAGAAATTTAACTGATTTTTATATATTGATGTGTGCTACAACCTTGCTGAATTCAGTCACTAGTTGTAATATTTTTTGGGAATTTTGTAATATTTTTACATACAAATAATGTCATATAGAAATAGAGATCGTTTAAATAATGCTTCCCTTTTAAATCTAGAACACTTTTACTTCTTTTTCTTACTTAATTGTGTTGGTTAAAAAGCCCTTACAGTGTTGAATACATAGTGGTAAAATCAACATCTTCATCTTGTTCCTGATTTTAGAAGGAAAACTTCAAGTCTTTAACCATTAAATGTGATATTAAATTGAAACTGTTCCCTTCTCTTCCTAGATGTTGAGTGTTTGTAACATAAAAGGTGTTATATTTTGTAAAATGGTTATCTGCCTTACTATGCTAATATGGAATATTACATTGATAGGTGTTTTGTTTTTTTTTTAAAGATTTATTTATTTGTGCATACAGAACTGGGGTACAGGCCAGAAGTGCAGGGGTGGCAAGAGGCCTCCCCAGAGACAGAGTGGGGAGCAGAACAGGCAGATCGTCTGTAATACACTGGGGAGGGGAGCAGAGGGCAGGGTCAGGAGAGGTCTGCCGGGCCATGTGGTCACCTCCAGGGCAGGCTGGGATCGAACTCATGCAGAAGTGGCAAGTGGCATTAGCTTCTTAATGCAGTGCTTTAACCTGCTGCGCCACCAGGGAGGTTTTTTTTTTTTTTTTTTTGTAGGTTTAACCACTCTTGCACTCCTGGAAAATAAAGTTCACTTGGTCTTTGTTGTTGAATTTGGTTTGCTTAAATTTCCATGAGAGTTTTTGCATCTGTATTCTTGTTTGGTAATTTTTTTCTTTCCATATCTTTTACTAGTTTTGGTACCAAAACATTAAGCTGGGAACTATTTCTTCCTTTATTTTTAGAAGAGTTTGTAAGGAATAATGTTGATTCGTAAGTCATGTGGTAATTCACTAGTAATTCAGTATCTGGTCCTGGATTTTCCTTTGTAGGAAGTGTTTGTGAATTAGTGTTGAGTCATATGGATGACTCAGTAATAATCATTCAGGTGTCCTATTTCTTGAGTCCATTCTTGTTTTTCTCTAGGATTGGATCCATTTCATCTAAGTTAGCTTGTTAGTTGGTATACAGTTATTTGTGTCTTCCCTGAAAATATTCTTCTACTTCTATAAGAATGTTGATAGGAATGTCACCTGCATTCCTAACTTTAGTAATTTAACTTCTCTTTCTTTTTTATTGGTCAGTCTGTGTGAGATTTATTGTTTTTGTGTCTTTTCAAGGTAAAAACTTTAGGCTTGTTGATTTTTTTTTTTTTTTACTTTTCCATTCCCTTTTTCAGTAATCTGTGCATCAATACTTATTAACTTTAGTAATTTAACTTCTCTTTCTTTTTTATTGGTCAGTCTGTGTGAGATTTATTGTTTTTGTTGTCTTTTCAAGGTAAAAACTTTAGGCTTGTTGATTTTTTTTTTTTTTACTTTTCCATTCCCTTTTTCAGTAATCTGTGCATCAATACTTATTATCATCTTCATTTTCTTTTTGTTTACTTGCTCTTTTTTCCCCCCTATTATTTCAATGGAGAATTAGGTTGTTGATTTCTTCTTCTTTTAAATAAGCATTCATAGCTATAAAATTCCCTCTGGATACCTCTATAGATATACCCCATTCATTTTGGCATGTTATGTTTTCATCTCAAAATACTTTCAAATTTCCCTTTTGATTTCTTCATTGAATCACTTGTTAGTAAGAGTGTTGTTTAATTTGCATGGATTCAGTTGCCATATGCTTCCAAATTTCATTTTGTTACCAATTTCTAATTATATTCTCAACTGTCAAAAAATATTCTCTCTGATTTTATTTATTTTTAATTTATTGAGACTTATGGGCTAACATATAGCCCCAACTGGGAAATGTACTATGTAAATGTGAGACTGTGTATTAGGTCTCATTGGTCTATAGTACTGTTCAAGCCTTCTATTTCCCTGTTGACATTCTGGTTAGCTGTTCTGTGCATTAAATGGAATATTAAGGTGTCCAACTATTATTCTTGAATATTCTATTTCTCCTTCCAATTTTTCAGTTTTGTTTCATGTATTCTGGGGTTCAATTGTTAAGTGTTTATGTTTGTAATTGCTGTATTATCCTGATAGATTGATGCATGTCCCCTTTTATCTCTAGTAATTTGTTTTAAAATCTGTTCTGTTTGATATTATTATAGTCACTCCAGGTTTCTTTTGACTGCATTTTGTATGATCTCTTTACCTATACTTCTACACTCACTCCTTTTTTCTTTTAATCTTAAGCAATTCTCCTGTAGATAACCTATCAGTGATGCTTGCTTCTCTTAGGTCCAGCTTGATAATTTACATCTTTTGTTGTCTACACATTCAGTATTATTATGACATGTTGAATTTATGTCTGCCATTTTACTTTTCATTTTTTTTGTCTTTTTGCCTTTTGTATCAACTAAATATTTTCTAGTATACCATTTTAACCACTTTACAGATTTTTCATTATATTCTTGAGTTATTTTCTTAGTTGTTTGAGGTTGTTATGTACATCTGAACTTATCATAGTCTTCAGATTTACACTAAATACATTGAGATATTTACAGTGAGATAGGAAAATGTTCTTAAATAGCTTTAGTCCATCTTCCTTTTTTGTACTATAATTGTTATGTATATTATATCCATATATTACAGGCATAACAATACATTCTATAATTATTACTGTATATAATTGTATGTTTTTAAAAGAAACAGAAGAAAGAAAAACAAAAAAATATACAAAAGAGCTTGTTATATTAAACATCCTATTTACCATTTCTGCTTCAATCTTTACCAGTCCCAAACTACTTCCTCTGTCATATTTCACCATTTTGAATTTTCAGTGAAACTTGCAATAATTCCAGTCACCATATTTGTTCTCTACTCACTGAAGTTACACTTTGTTAATAACTTGGCTCATTATCCTACCTACAGTACATCCCCTCCAAGCTTGGAACTACCATCCCTTTTGGTATATATGCAGTATATGCCTGCACTTTAATAGCAAGTTCTATCACTTTTAAAATGGTTATTTTATATTTCACATTTGAAGTCCTCCCTTTTATTTATACATTATTTTTTAGGAGATAGTGCATTCTTTGGCTTCCACATAAGCCTCATCTGTGACTGTTTAGAAGAAAGGTCAAAATTAAGATGAATAACTAAGATCCCCATTATTTCTTGGGAATTCTAGTCAACTTGTCTTAGTAAAATTAAAAAGCTGCTGTTGTGTGTGAAAATAAAATAATTCTAGTAAAAATAAACAACACAGAGAAATTATGGAAAAACTATTCTCAACACTATGTATAAAATATAACAAATCCATTTGTTAAAGATCAATTCATGAAAAATCATTTTTCTGAAAGTCAGCTCACAAAATAACCAATTATCCAGTGACCTATAAAGCAATGAGTTTAGAAACTGAATACATAATAGTTCATTTACTTTAAATGACATTTAATTATCTCATACCATATGTGATTATCCTTGATATGTTTTTATTAAGAAAAATATGCTACTTCACTCTATGATCATTAAAATTTGTTACAGCATACTTTCTGGCCATTAAAATTTTTTTACAAAGCTTTTGAGGAACACATGCGAGACTTATTTTAGGTTTTACATGGAGTTCAAAGACTAATTACTTTATACTCATACTATTTTGAGAATATATTTAAGAATACAGTTATTAACTGACTATAGCACTGTCCTTGAGAATTATGTCATGTAACTTTTATATATATGTAAATATATCACACACACACACACACACGTGTGTGTGTGTTTTATATATAAATGTTTTTTAGTCATTTCTGAAATAAGGCTTCTTGGATGCCTTATAATGCCAAGATATGTTAAGAATCTAACTTTTATTTTATTTTATTATAGTAAGAAATGATTTGCAGTATATACAGCAATAAAAAAATGAACTCACTTCTGTGGGAAAGGAAGAGATATGATTAAATGACAAGTCAATATATACCAGTTGCAAAGCCAAATTTGTTAAGTCTGGACAATTGGTGATAAAAAAACCCTAAAAGAAAGTGACAAGAGATAAGAGGTTAATTATTAATAATGCACAAAAATATTTTATGCAAGAGTAAATAAAAGAGCACACAATCTAAGTGAAAGTGTATGACCCAATACGCTTATAAGTCTAGGCTCACCTTCTATTAGTTTATTTTAGTCTGTCATCTTAACAGTTTCTTAAATATGCAAAGGAACAAACAAAATAGAAAAAATGCTAAGTATTTTTGTAAAAAATAACTATAGCACATAGCATTTTAGATGTGACAGGCAATAAACAAGCAAACACTTACTGAGTGTCTATAATATTAATGTTTTTGTGTCCCTAGGAGTGGAACTGTGGGTCGTGGTAGCTCCATGTTTAGTAGCCTGAGGAATATTCATACAACTTTCTACAGTGGTACACCCATCAACAGTGTAGGAGCCACATCGTCTGGATAATTTTTAACTACATATTTTTTTAATTTATTTTTTATATCACTCTTCATTTTGTGCATTTTTTTCATCTCAATTGTAGTCCCTGTGAGCTTCCCACCACCAGTTTACCTGTGTGCCATCACCACAGTCCCGTGCACTCTTCCCACCCCAATTTTTATCCCATTCTCCTTTCTACCCCTTAACATGTCTCTGGTTTATAGCTGTTCATTGTTTCCGTTTTTACTTTATTACATTTGCTTCTCCCTTAAACTCCTGCTATGAATAAAACCATCGGTATTTTTCTGTTTCTTTCAGGCTTATTTCACTAAGCATGATCCCTTCCCTTCATACCCTTTAAAATCCTTTGTAATCAACTAATAATCTAGAGAGTAAATAGATTTTTGGAATTCTATGAACTCTACAAAATTAATATAATCCATGAAAAAGGTCATGAGAACCTTTAATTTATAGTTGGTTGGAAATAGACCTTAATTTATAGTGTGTTCCAGAGTAACACACTGGATTTGTAGGTGGCATGCTGAGTTGGGGTTTTGGGGTGACTGGAACCTCCAATTTGTATCCAAGTACTCAAAAGCACTGACAAAAACTGGGTTTTCAGTTGGTATCAGAAGGAAAGGAAAGTCTTTTAGAACTGAGTCATTTATCTGTAGAATCTGATGTTATTCCTAGATAGACAGTGTCACTATTGAGTTGAATTATAGGATAGCCAGCAATTGTTCAGGAGGTGTTTGGTTATATGGGGGGGGGAACACCTCTACATTCAATGGTGGAATTGAGTCATTAAGAGGCATGCACCCCTCAAGTTACTTTCTGAATTTGAGAAGTAAAATTTTTTTAAGTGTTTTAACAAAATTTATCAATAAAGCCATCCCATCCTGGGGAAAGTTTTGATTATTTACTCAGTCTCTTTACCTGTTAATAGTTCTGCTCAAATATCTATTTTTTGTTGGGTTAATTTTGTACATTTTGTGTTTTTCTAGAAAATTTTCATTTATACATCTAAGATATATTATTTGTTGACCTACGGTTGTTCATTGCATTCTTTATTTATGTGAGGCCAGTAGTAATGTATCCATTTTCATTTCTGATTTTAGTTATTTGTATACTTTTTATTTTAGTCTAGTTAAAGTTCTGCCAATTCTCTTGATATTAAAAAGAACTGATTTAATTATTAAAAATTCCTTAAGGTATGATAACAGACTAGGAGATCTTTCTTTTCCACAAACCTCTTTCACACAACTATCCACAGCCTATTCCAAAATCAGTATCTCACATATCAGTGTGATATATTGGTTATAATTAATAAACCAACATTAGCACATCACTATAGACCCAAGTTTAGACTTTTGTATATTCTACTTGCTTTCACAAATGTAAAATGAAACATATCTTTTCTTTCATCACTTTAAAAATGTCATCTATTGCATTCCTCTTCCATATCTTTCCAGTTTGTTCTAATGATAAATTGAGTACTAAGTTTATACATTTTTTTTCTACCTTCATATTCTGATATTTTGACAATTTGATTATAATGTGTTGCTCTTTTAGTTGAGCTCCTTAAATATATAGATTTGTGTCTTTAACCAGTTTGGGGAAGTTCTGACCATTATCCCTTGAAATAGTCTTTCCTCCTTTCTCCCCTTCCTTTTTTCTGGGATCTGCATTATCTGTAAGTTGGTACACTTGATGATGTCTCACAACTCCCTTAGGTTCTGTGCATTATTTCTTTTTTCCATTCTGCTCATTATACTTAATGATTTCATTTAATCTATCTTCCAGTTCTCTATTTCATTCTTCTGCCTGCTCAAATTTACTATTGAAAGCTAGCAAGCTTTTCATTTTGGTGATTATTTTTTTGATTCCACTACTTCTTTGTGGTTCCTTATTGTAATTTTTGTCACTTTATTACTAATCTGAATTCATACCTCATTCTCCTGGTGTTTTTTAGCTATTTTTCTATAGTTCCCTTTAGTTACTTAAGCATACTTAGAAGACAGTTGACTTAAAGTCTTTTTCTAGTAAGGGCAGTTCTGTTCTTCCTCAAAGACAATTTCTATTAATTTCTTCTGTGAATGGGCCATATTTCTTGCTTCCTTACCTGTCCCATAATTGTTGTGAAAATCTGGACACTTAATATTATGATGTGGTAGCTGTAAAACTCATATTCTTTTCCCTTGTAAGGGTTTGCTTTTTTTGCATGTTGTGGGCTACAGCTGTTGGTTTGTTTAATTAATTTTTCTGAGCTATTTTTGTTACATTCATATTCCTTTTCTTTTGTTGTCTTAGATATATGCTCCTTTAGCTTGTGTTTAGTGTTTTGACAGAGTTCCTTGGGCATTAGAAGAGAATTTAAGAGAGGGAAAAGCAATACTTCTTCCAGTCTTTTCAGACTGGCTTTATGAAAGAACATCCTGTCAAAACTTAAGCTATTTATTACTATTTTTTAAAGATTTATTTATTTATGCATACAGAGCTGGGGTACAGGCCATAGGTGCAGGGGCAGTCAGAAGATTCACCAGAGACAGAGTGGGGAGCAGAACAGGCAGATCAACAAAGTACACTGCTGAGGGGAGCAACAGGCGAGACAGAGGAGGTCTGCTGCACCATGTGGGTCACCTCTGGGGCCAGAGATAGAACTCACAATGAGGCTGCTGTGGCTAGCTTGCAGTGCTGTGTCCTAACCCACTGCAACACCAGGGAGGGCCCACTTAAGCCATTTAAAACTATCCATCAACCTTCACTTTCTGCTTGGACTACGCCTGGCGATTGGCCATAATTGAAAGATAAGAGTCTTCTCAGTTCTCATCTAAAAATGCATCATTTGTGGACAAGCATGTGGCTTTCTAATGTCCTCAGTATACATGGTAATTTTCAATGGCCTAATTTCCTGAAGTAACCCTCCAGGAAGTTTTTGATATTTTAAGTTTTATTTTAAAATAAAAACATATAAATATTTGAGGCCAAAGAGTTCTTGGTATTATTCCAAGCTTAACCTCTTCTTTGCTTGTGTGACCTTGTGTCATTAGGCTTCTGTGTTTTCATCTGCAAGATGATTATACCTTCCTTGCAGAATTGCAAATTTTAAAAGTAATACTTGCTTTGACATAGCAGATGCTTAATAAATGCTGAGTTGCATTATTATTCATTATATTGAGTTTGTCTCAGTGAAATGCTAGCTGAGTGCTAGATTTGGCATAGGATTAAGATTATAGATACCTGAAAACTATGATATCTCTGAATCCCACTTTTCTTATTGTTCTAGGTAATGAAATAAGTATTATAATTGCTTTGAATTGAGCCCTTTTTTTTTTCTTTTAAACTTAGTGGAATTAAGGCCAGCAAAGAGAGAGAGTGTTAGCAATACCATGTGACTATGGTCCTGAGAAATTACTGTAACAGAAAAGAGCCCTTGAATAGCATGGAAACAACCTAAGTTAGAAAACATAAAACAAAGATAACTGATAACATAACAGGAAGTTGCCATTAAAAGAATCTAGCATACCTTAAGACTAAGTGCATTTCTTTCATGCATTTTACAGTTTACTATGGCCAGGTTGGTCATTGATGCTACTGTTTCATCTTGTGTTGCTGCAACAGTCTTAAAACCCCCAGAATGCATGGATTGTATCAATGTTTCATTTCCTTTTCCAAATACAGTGAGTTCTAAATAAATATGACAAAACATGAAATTTAAATGTGCTATCACTTAGAGTGAAAGTTAACCATCATCATAAATAATTATTATAAATAGATTAGTTGTATATCCTTTGGATGAGATTCCCATCCTACCCCACTATTTCTGTCAAACTTGGTTTTGTTGTTGTTGAAAATTAGGCACCACATTTGTCATTTAAAAAGGAAATTTTATACTCATAGATTTTTACCTGGATAATTTAGATTCCATTCATATCATTCTTCTTGTACTATATATACAAACATTTTTTAAGAACCTACTATGAATTACATAAAACACTTCTTGATTCACAAAACTAATGAAGGACATAATATAAGCATAACTCAGAGATCACCTCCCAAGGAGCAATCTCAGATTTTTCCTTAATATCATCTAGGTATGTGATTCAAACATCGTATTTAATTTGATTCTTTCCTCACTTTAAAGATACCATACAAGAAAGGAAAAAAACAAATCGCACACAAGTTAACCAAAGATCATCAAAATTTACTTTATCATGACTTAGTAAGATACAAATTACATCAAAAATGACCTATCCAGGCATACACCCAAGTATGGCAGGACATTATTTTGAATTTCAATCAAATTATTCTTGTTATATTACTTGCAGCAATTATATTTTAATCTCAGTAATTTTATAGCATTGCTTCATTGAGAGGAAAAATGTATCTCTGAATAAGGAAAACAACATTCAGCTTTTAATTTCTAAAATAGGCCTTTCAGGAAAAAAGAAAGATGTCATAAAGATACCTTGATTAGGAGTGGGAGTACAGTAAGAATAAAAGGAATATGAGTTAAAACATAACTCTGTGACTAGACCAGGTCACCCACTCACCTGGTTTAAACTCAAGCAGTTGGTTTTATCAATGGAGCAGAAAGGAAAGAGACAGAGACAGGGAAGTGATTAGCAATTCCCTTCACATCTCTGAAGGACCCAAAGCTCTTAACTCACCTGGATGTTTTCAAGAGGTAACCATCTGAGTGGAATAAACTCAATAAAGCAGAAGTGACAGAATGAATTATTTAGGCATTCACCACAAAGGAGATGGAGAAGTTAATTTATATCACAAATGATAATACAGAACTCCTGGGAGAAAGAGTGGTCTCAAAAGTCTATTTTTCCTATAGTGAACAGTATTATATCGTGTATTTGAAAGTTGACAGAAGGGTAGATCTTAAATTTTCTCATCACAAGAAAAACATTGTAATTATAGTGGTGAAAATTGTTAACTTACTGTGGTTCTTATTTCACAAAATATGCATGTGAAATAATTATGTTGCACACTTTTAAGCTTATACAATGTTTTATGTCAATTATACCACTATTGGTTCTGAGGTTTATTAAGGGTAATCAATTTTTCATTTCTCATTTTTTTCTGAAACAGCATCCTTACTCTTAAGGTTCAGATCATTCAGATCTTCAGTTGCAACCCCAATGTATTTACCTAGGCACCTACACTTTGACCCGAATTTGCACTCCAGTCACTGTCTCGTGTGCAACTAAAAATCTGTGTTTTGTTTCTTAGGCTCTCAGCTGATGTTCACTGTATTTCTAAGTCTTTTCTGTTACATGCACAGCTTAGAACCCAGCTAACACCATTAAAGGAGTTTGTGTGCAGATAACTGGATTCGTTTTCCTCCTTTCTGAAATATTGGCAGCTCTGAGGTTTTTCATTCCCCCCCCCCTTTTGTGGCAGCTCTGAAGTCTTATCTTTATCTCTTTAATTAATAAAGATTACCATGTTCTACTGGTGCTCTAATCTCCAGTATCACAATGTCCTCAAGAAATAGCCAAGGTAAGTTAATGTAGAGCTAACTCCTAAGTCTAGCCACTAAAGCCTGCAAGTGGTTACACGCTGTACTTTCAGTAGCTTTTTATGCATTTTGGGCATCTTTAATAGTTTTCTTAGAAAAAGGGTTTGTCTGGTTGTAGCTACTGATTCAATCATAACCACAAGTCATCAGGTTATTTCAAAATCTGTATTTTATACATGATAAGTCTAGTAACTAGAACTTCTTTGGGTATATTCCTACTGCTTTCTGTTTCTGTTAGTTTTCATTTACTCCAGTTTTCTCTTCGTATGCCTGCTACTTGTGAATTCTGCACTATAATTTAAATTTGTGAAACTGTTTATAGAAACAATGTGAGGCCTAGAGTGATGCAATCTTTCTCTAAAGGTGGTTTTCATTTCTACTAGGTAACTAAGGTAAAGGAACTTACCTTAGGAACTTAGTGTCTGGCAATGGGTAATTCTCATTTCATGCCTCGCTACCCCATTCAGATTAAGAATATTCTATCTTTTAAGTCCCCAATATCAGTATAAACTTTGTTTTACAGTCAATACTTTAAAAATAGCTGCTGAGTAAATGTCTTAAGGAACTGAAAATGAGATGTGTGTGTGTGTGTGAGTCATATACACACATAAAAAACAAAATCACAAATTCCTTTAAAGAGAGATTTTCTTACAGTTTCTAGAATAATACAAAGCTAGTTAGCATTTACCTTCATGTTCGGTTGACCTGCGTTGTCTTGAGGCATTTTCATCTGTTACATGACTTTCTAGAAAAAAGAAATAATGGGACAACTTTTGAATATTGTGAAAATTCACTTTGAGTGTGTAATTATTTCATTATACCCTCATGTTCATCTTTTACTGAATTGAGATTATTCATGGAAGTGTACACATGGAAGCATCCATCGCTGGCATCTGCTTCTGGAGTTCATCTAAATCACCTTCTAAATGATTGTTCTCATTCCTCCTTTATATTAGCTCTATGATCCTTTGAGCTCCCTTATCCCTTTTTCCCACCGCTATCTGAGGTCAGCACCCAGTATGGCCTTAGCAGATTTAGGGCTTCTGTTACTGTGTACTGGTTCACATTTTAAATATATAGGCAAAAAGTCCCACCCTCCTACCTTGTAAGCCCTTTAAGGGGGCACAGTTTGTTTGCATGCTTTCTCATTTTTTTTCTACTTAACTACAACCAAATTTACGTTGTATTTACCTAGCAAAGATTGTTTTCGAGGTTTTCTATGCATATTTGCTCTTGGTATGTTCATGAAACCTGAAAAAGTAGTCATTTTTAGTAGTGCCGTATGTTTTTGTTTGCCCCTTTGAAACCAGTTTTTTTCTGGTTTTGCTGGTATAGTGTCAGATGAAGGACTTGGCACTGTTGCCCTTGCATCTGTCAGAGGCTCCTTAAAGACATCTGTTACATCTGCTGATAAATGACGCTCAGCATGAAGTTTCTGGTGTTTGGGAGTGGTGATATAGGTAGACACTTCTGAAGATTCAGGTTTAGCTGAAGATAAAACCAACAGGCTCATTAACACATTCTTCATAGAAAGACTTTTTGATATTGGTGGCTCTTTTGATTTTCTTGAACTTTCCACTTGTCTTGTTCTTTGCCCAAAAACTTTAGGTGAAGTTGAATGAATAGCTGGGGGAAGTATAGTAGTAATAGCCGCAGTCTTAGCAGCAGCAGTCTTAGCAGCAGCAGTCTTAGCAGTAGCAGTCGTAGCAGCAGCCGTAGTAGTAGCAGGAGTAGCAGCAGCAGGAGCAGAGGCAGCAGGAGCAGAGGCAGCAGGAGTAGCAGTAGCAACAGGAGTAGCAGTAGCAACAGTCTCTGGAATGCTCCAAGAGATCCTCTTAGACTTTTTGGGTACTGAAATAGTAGTCACTCTTTCTTGTACATCATAGTCAAGAGGGATATTTTGGATACTGACAGGGGACCGTGACTGATTTCTTGACACAACATCAAGAAAATGACTTTTATCTCTCTCAGTGGAAGTGGTTTTGTCATGAATGATCTTTACATGTGCTGGTTTAATTTTACTAGTCTTGGCTAAACCAGAAAAAGTACAGAAGATTAGATTACATTTATCCAGGTATCAGAGACATGATAATAGTTTTGTCTTAATTACTTTCATTAAAATTAGTGAATCCTAATTAATATTAATGAACATTAATAGTAAACTTTAATTAGCATTCATAGCTTATTTTAACCCACTCGCACTTCTCTCATGTCCTAAAAGTGTTTCTGTATATACATGTCTGGCTATGAAGGCTTTTGTTTAGCTGACTGAGATTGACTTTGAGTGAACAACTGGACAAGTAAAAAGGCTTAAACTGTATTAGATTTAGAAAGCATAAAGAACTACTTTTGGAAGAATGGAAATCAAGAATCCGAGGGTAGGATATAAGGCAGACTATCTTAAACATTATGCAATCCCTCTTACTTTATTAAAATGATCCATACTTTTATTCTAGCTCATTATTTCAACAAATATTTAATACCAAGTACCAGCTATACCCACAGTCCTGGAGTTATAATCACACAGCACAAATCATACTACCTTCAAAGAGCTCACAACTTAGTATAGAAACAAGGCAGACAAATAGTTGTACCAGAGAATAATAAATGCTATGTTAGGTGTAAGTATGCTGATATAATAGTACAAAAGATGTCATTCTGACTAGATGAAGAAGGAAAAGACGCTTAATGCTTTTTCAAATAAGGAAACTGAGCCAAAGAAAAGACTCATTTACACTAATAAAAAAATAGATGGTAGAGGGCCCTCCCTGGTGGCGCAGCGAGTTAAAGCACAGCACTGAGAAGCTAAAGCCACTTCCGCATGAGTTCGATTCCCGCCTGCCCCTGGAGGTGACCACATGGCGTGGCAGACCTCTCCTGACCCACCCGCTGCTCCCCTCAGCAGTGTACTTCGTCGATCTGCCTGTTCTGCTCCCTGCTCTGTCTCTGGTGAAGCCTCTCACCGCCCCTGAGCCTCTGGCCTGTACCCCAGCTCTGTATGCACAAATAAATAAATCTTTAAAAAAAAAAAATAGATGGTAGAGCTGAGATCAGGTCTCTTAACTCCCTGGTTTCTCTACTATTCCTTGGGAGAAATGCCCCCACTTCTTCCAGTTCCTGTTTTATGGCAGTCTCTAATACTGAAGATCCTGAATTTTCTATCAAGGCTTTATCATTTTGCCTGATTTTATAGGCGTTATGACCAAATCTGTTGTTATTTTACAGGGGTTTTGGCAACAGTATAAATTCAGTAATTTTTAACTATTAATCTGTTCAACAAATATGTGAATATCAAGTATGTCCAAAGGACTCTGCCAAAAGCCTTTAAAAATATAGGATTAATAGCAAATATTACAGATAATCCCAGATGCAGATGCCAAAAGTAGCAGAGCTCCCCCTCACACACACATATACAAATTATCCAATTCAAACTGTCAGTAGTGAAAAACTGTAATAGAGGATAAACTTCAACTAAAAGATAAATAAAAAAACTACAACAGAAGACTCTGAGCAGTACACCTATATAACTATAAGTATTATTAGTAGTACAGAATAAGTTGCATATGTAAAACCAAACACCATTATAGGAATGTAGAAATAACAAAAATTAACAGGGAAAGTAAAAGATGAAATTAGAAGTAATACAGGTATGCTGATTTATACCTCTCTAATAGCCATGGATCAAAAGATAATAATTTAATATTGCAAACCAAATTTTAAAGTAAGCATATTTTAGCTTACTTTATTGACAATGAAGTAACTAATACAGTCAACTAAAGACAGATGTTAGAGGAGTCTGAAAGGGAGAAGAAGAAATATGCTAATTTTACCTCGACTCTTAATTAAGGAGTACACAGTGTACACAGAAACAGGGATTAAATGTATTATGCACAGTTATAGTTATAGAAATGGCATATTTTTACTTCATTTTTACATATATTAAAGGGTAATTTTATATTGACATATATTTGATCCCACTAGAAGGTAAATAAAGCAATTCCTAAGCACTATGCTCATGAATACAGTCAATTCATAGTAGTTCTGTAAAGTCTCAGAAAACAATGAATAATAATAATGAGCCACTAATCCTAGGAAAATGACACATGTAGGTTCCTGCAAAGCCTCTGGTCTCAACCTTGTCATCAGCTAATTCATATATGTTTTACATATATTCCTATTTAAAGACACATTTTTTAATATAGCTTTAGCTGATTTGTTAACATTGAACACATGGCCAGCAAAACTGTATTTCATATCTGAGGGAAGCTTATCTTCTTTTGCTTAGGAACACTAGACAGCATATCAACGTTATGCTGGGGGTGTGTGTGTGGCATTTTACATAGTGAAATCAGCAGCAAAAAGCAAAAAGCTCAAAAAAATGGCACTAAATATACAAGGAAAAGGAAAGTTGTTTATAGTATGACAGCTGAAATAGGTATCTTTGACCTCAGGTGAGAACGTGTGTTTTCACTGTTCTGTGCGTATGTCCATGATCCATCCAGAATTACCAAATATACTCCTTCCCTGCACATAATTTCAGTGTACTGAAAACAGAGTGAGAGTTCTATATACTGATCTGCAGTATGTTCCATAACATGCTGTTGAGAAAGAGATAGCTTGATATACTCATTTTTTTTTTTTTTTATAACAGTTTTTATTTTTACATCATTTTGTACATTTTTCCCCCATCTCAATTGTAATCCCTGCGGGTTTCCCATCACCAAGTCACCCGTGTGCCATCACCATAATCCCGTGCACTTCCCTCCCCACCCCACCCCCTGTTTTTAATTGGATACAAGGTTACAAAAATATTAACAATATATTTGCACCTGCAGAATCCACAAAGGTGGATTGACTGTACTTGCAAACCTGAACTGGATGTTAGATCCCCTTACAACAGTTATTTCTAAGTTTATTTGTTATTAGTGAAATTAGTAAAAGACTAAAAATAGTTCTTATGAAGCTGAGTGGCACAAATTGAGGAATTTCTATGAAAAATAAAGTTAATTACAGATTTGATTATACATACCTTTATAAACTCGCCTTGGAATGTACAGACGCAGTTTAGGGAGTTTTGGAGGTAAAGGCCTTCGAAGAAGTGGTGGGTAGCTTTGCATTTTAATTAATTATAAACACTGTTTTGGCAGCTATTGGTTAAATGAGATTTGAAAAGTTTTTGAATATGTTTGATTTGTTGCTGAAAAACAACTCATTGAAACTAAGATTACACTGTATTGGAAATCATTGTTTTAGTACTTATACTGAGCTCAAACAAATCCTACGAAAAGCCTGTACAAGTAATCTTAATTCTTTAAGATTACTAGAAATAATCTAGATAAAATTTAAGTTTTATAACTAATACAGATTTTTAGAATAAATATACCATAAGCAGTGGAGATTGACTGAAATTTCCCATGTTAGCAAAGTCTGGGAATAGAAAAATCAGCTAGTAAACTGATTATCCAGAACAGAAGAAATGATACGCACCTTTTTTTTTTCCTCTAAAATGTTAACAGTAAAAACTATGAAAAGAGATTTTGATCAAAACAATGAAGCTTCCTTCCTGGTAGCCTTTGAATCACACACTATCTAGTCTGCCACAAATACGGTTCCTTCTGTAATAATGACTTATTTTAAATTCCAAGCACTGTATTTGGCCATAACTATTTAATCCAAAATTAAGATGGACTTCAGTATAATGAAATTTTCTGACCCAATTTGTACTGTTTGGAAATTATGCCGGTAGAGAGAACCAACAGTATGTGTGTTTAGTTTGCAGGTCAGTATCAAAGTGGCTGGCACTTCACAATCCCATCGACAGCCCAGACCGGGATGCTTTGGAGCTGTTCAAAGGGAACACTGTATACCGAGGAGATAATTGCGCTCAAGGTACTGTTCCCAGTGTGTGCCACTTGATGCGGGTAATATCCTCTACTATTATCTTTGGGGGAGGTTAGCTGCATTTCCAAACTACCGTATTTTCGTCTTTTCTCTCCTTTTCCTTGGAATTTAGGCAGCTAGGTAACGGCTAAGTGAAGTCACTGGTGTTCCCGCGGGGTGCTGTTTAGAAAGAAAGCCTCCAGGCCACCCCTCCCCACCCACCCACTCCTCCCTGCACCTTTACCCTCCACCCCTTCCCCCACCCCGGGAAAGGTAAGGCGGGGGCCTGAGTCTGGCCCTGGCAACCGGAAGCCAAAAACCCCCGCCCTGTCCGCTGCTGCGCGGCGCCAGAGGGGCGGGGCTAGCCTGGCCGGAGGGCAGGTGAGAGGCCTGCGGCTGGGGGAGGGCGGGGCTCGTGCCCGCAGATCTGTGCGGAGGGTCCCCGCCCTGCAGCGCGCGCGCAGCACCTGCTAGCCTCTCTGCCGCCCTGAGGGCTGTGGGAGAGGCTGCGGGCGGTGGGGGCTGGAAGAGAAACCCGCTCCTTCTGCAGCTGCTGTACGGAACCCGGTGGTGACAATTGTTATTATTATTTTTGTTGTTAAAGACAATGACCACTGTTATTTACTTTTCTGGATTTCACTTACACCTAAGGTCGGGACTGGCATTCTTTAATGATGCACTTTTGCGCAGCCGGGTCCCCTGGTTAATTTTTAGTACCGGTAAAAGGGAACATTCTGCTTTCTTTCTCTTCCTTTAATACAGCTTGTTTTTACTTTCTGATGTTTTAAAGTTCCTGGTTGGAAAGAAACTGTGTAGGGTTAGGGGCATTTTAAGAATCCAAGTGGGTTTTTTTTTTTTTTCTTCAAATAAACCCCTTTCTCACTGCCATTTGTTCTGCTTATTATCGTGTTGTAATTTGTCTCATGATCTTGATGAGCCTGTATGAAAATGCAGTGATGGGCGATGCATTTTTACTTGTTTTTGCTTACATGTTTCTCTGTAGATTAGCAGGAGAAAGAGCACGTTAGAGAACTCAGGTGGATGTACTCAAAGTAGATGAAAATTCCTTACTGTCTTATGGGATTTTGTTTGTTTTTATAGTACAACTATTGGAACTTTAGTAACAGGTGTTGGAGGATGCAAGACTTCAGTAAAAAATTTTTGGTTTTTGAGATTGTTCAGGAGTTTCTCCCAAGCAGTTTTCCTTTAGGGGCTAGCATATATTTTAGAACAGTCCATGGAAAAAGTGGAAAAGTAAAGAAGTATTTGTTTAAAGTGGAAAATACTATGAAACTTGTTTTCTTTTAGAGTTTTGGCACGCGGTTGCTTCTCCTGGTAATATTACTGTGTCTTGATTAGATAGCCACCCAAGAATATGAATTTTCTCTTTTTTTTTACACTTTTACCTATGTCTACTTCATAGGTCTAATAGCGTCTCAGAAAGACAAGGAAACTGACCACCAATATCAGATCTGATTGCTAAGTTTCATGTCAATATTAATTGTTGTGCATATTTTGTAAATGTAAAAAATTATATTCTTCATCATAGAATATGTTCAGTTTCCAATACTTAAATTAAATCACAGCCCTGTGCTCTTAAAAGTAGCTTGAACTATGACTGCTGGGATTCAATTTAATAATCAATGCTTGACTTTTAAATTTTATACTTAATATTGCATAGTCAAAATCGAGATAATGTGCTTAATCTTTTCTTTCTTTCTTAAATGTTTTGTCATTCATGGAATTAGGCATCAGTCTTCATTCCCTGCAGATTTCTCCTAGCCAAGTATCATGCAAAACCTAGGACTGTTTAATATGTTACATCTTTAGGTATGGATAGTTTGTCTTCTAACACTTCTAGTACTACTATAATGAGATAGTTCTGAAAACTAAATCCATAACTTGGTATATTTTATCAGTTATGTTAACATATTGTACATGCTTCTTCTATGGAGATGTACAAAAGTAGGCAGGATTTTAAAAGTACAAATCACATTTGATGTGGATTATTTTCTCAGTTCTGAAAATATTGCTGCTTCCTTTTTAAAAAATAATTATGTTTCTTTGAATAATAAAGTTCCCTCTCTGACTTTAAAGGTCTGTTTCCCCTAATGTATGGTACAGTCGGTATCTATTTATTGGTCCTATCAACTTTGTGATTTGGCAGAAATCTGTAAAGGAGCTTGTCAAACTGAACCATAATGCTTATGCTGTATTACCGGATTGTCTTAAGGAGGTCAGGGTAATAGTGAGCCCCAAAGTTACATATATCCTGTGCTTTTTTCTTTTTTTCTTTTTTTAACGTTGCTAAAAATGAGATAAAAGCCTTACACAAAAACATCTTTAGGCACAGCAGGTAATTCTATTGATTTTCTAATGAGTGGTGAATGCTTTGGGAATCACAGATTTGCTGGTGTGAGAGGAAACATCTGTTGTAAAGGTGTAGAAGTTACTGAAATCTTAGTTATTTTCGACATACCTCTGTACTCTTCTTTATCCATTTGTTTTCCTTTTAAACAGGACAGAGGTTTACTAAACAGGTTGTTAAATGTAGATTTAATCTAACATTTTCACTTAAGAAAATAACTGCAGTCATTTGTTTTATAACGCTTGTATTAGTTTTTAGAACTTTTGCATAGTTATTTTTGAGCACACATTAGGTTAAATGTTCGGTCCCCCACAGTATCCGGGCCACTAACATACTTTTGAGAAAAGTATTTTCTTGATATGACTTTATCTGACCTTAAATCATATGTTTAGAATTGTCTTAACTCTTCACCAATTGATGACTTTAAGATAAACATTTATTTCATATGATTTTACGCTGTGGCATAGAGAAAATTTTTACATTTCCTTAAATGATATTTTGAGGAAGCTGTTTTTCTCTCCTCCCCTCACCCCTCCCCATCCCTCCTCCCCGCCACCTCATACCTTACTGCAAAGAAAAAACTTCATTTCTCTTCTACTCCATTATTTTTTGGCCAGTTTACTTTCTTCTGTTTAAACTAGAGATTGAACCTGGAATGCCTTTCAGAAATGTCATTACTAATGAGAAAATGCCATGCAACATGTACAATTAATTTTAATTTGCAAGCATGATGAAAGGCTGTATTTGTAAAAGTGTATCCATGAATTCACTCATTCCAGAGAGAACTACTGTAAGCCATCTATGACTAATGCAGTTGGTTGGTACTAAATTTAAGCTTTACTAAGACAAGAGTGATCTGCTTGAGGCTTTATAATTTTAGAAATTGAGATTAAATTTTAAATCATTTTCAAAGCTTTAATTAGCTGTAATAACTACTTGAATTTTTATTTTTTTAATGTTATTATTTTTCTTTGATAGAATGTTATTTAATCATACTTGAATACTCAGAAACAATATTTGTATTTCTTTTGCTTCAGTGATCACTTTAGGTTGTTTTACATAGGTGATATTGAGTATCTGTGTATGTCATTGTGTCCCTTACCAAAAAAAAAAAAAAAAAAAGATTAATATTTGCCGCCTTTCTGTTAGGTTGATTAAGAAACATTGTTTTTATTGCTGTGAGTGATGACACATCAAAGTTGGTTACTTACTATGTCAAAGTGACTGTTCTTAGTGTTGATTTTATTCAAATTTCAATGCAAGACAGCACAACATAGCTCTCTACTGGCCTGGGTTCAACTTCTCAGCTGCCATTTGATAGTTATCTGCTCTTGGATCATATATGCTGCTTAATTTTTCTAAATCCCAATAGTTGTTGTGCCTGTTTAACTCTGTGGTATTGTGGTATAAGTGGTATTGTGAAGAATTAGAGATGTTTTGTGTTAAAGTCTTAGCTCTGCCTGGCATACATGAATTCTCATTAGATGTGAGTTGTTAGAAATGACCAAAGTTTCCTGTCTGCATCATTCCCCGCCTTATATGGTGATAGTTGGTGTTAACTGAAATATTTGGAGGGCTAAAGGGTGACTCTTGGACATTTATCCATAAAAGATCATGTTTAGTTTGTCTCTGGATTATTGGAGAACTTAAGTCTCAGGTCTCTGTCAACCAAAATGGTCTGCTCTCGTAAGGTCCTACATTCTCACTGGTTCTTACACATGCCCTGGTCTGCACAGGGAACTGGGGGCAGCTCAAGTACAGTAATGTAAAGAGACTTTCACTCACCTCCCAGGTGAGTCCCCAGCTGCTGTCAACACAGACTAAGCTGGACTGAATCCATGATGAATTTCACCCAGTTCCCAGTATGAA